GGGTGATCTTACAGGTCTGCTCCAACCTCAGTGATTCTGTGACTAAGATACAGCTGTGCTTTAGCCAATGGCTGATGAGAGCATGCCATGCCACAGTCTGACATTTTCAATATGAATGTGGAAATACTGACATATTTGTGGCGCTGAATTTACTTCAGTGTGTCAGGCTGCAGTTGCTGGAGTGTGGGTTCATACCTGCTTCAGGCCCCCTCAGCGTGGTGACAGCCAGACCGTACAGTTGGCTGTGGGAAGCGTGAGCTGTAGCTGCTTTAGCTGGCTCTCTAAATTCGTTGCTGCATGTGTGTCAACACCTGCAGCTCTTGAGCTGTCCACCCTCTCTAGCCTGTGCAGAGCCCCTCTTACCCCCAGCCCTCCTTTCTCTGTTAGGGTGGATGGGAATGCAGGGCAGTCCCTGGAATCTGTTTTCTAGAGCTTGCAGCTCAAATCCCGTGGAGGCTGGTTAGTGTGTTGGCCCAGTTTAGATGAAACATGCAGGTATTTGCAGACTGCCCATTTTATAAAATCGAATTTTTAACCTTCCAGCTCTCCCCATTTTCCAGGTAACCTCATCCTAGTCCCCCAAGTCTTTGATGGTTTGGAATGCCTGTTCTAGCGGGTTGTACGTGGCCGCATTAGGGTGGGATGGATGCATCTGAAACATTGCAGACGATGCTGCTTTTGTGTCCATCAGGTGTTATGTCCCCGGTGTGACATTGGAATGCTGAATCTGAAGAGAAAGCAGAAGAAGTTGAAGGAGCCAATGCCAAGTGGAAAGAAGAGGAGCACTAAGCTAGAGACTCTGAGTGACTTAGAAAGAGCTCTCTCTGAGAGCAAAGATACTGCATCTGCGGTATGTGATTTCAGAGGTTTTTTGAACTGGAATTTCTTCTGAGTTCTCTGAATCTTTGTTTATGTTTGCCTCTCGTGCAGGAGCGTTATCTTCCACTCTTTTCTGCTTCTCTCCTGTTCTGCAGATGGAGTTCTAGGCCTGTGCTCTTCTGTGCTTGCTTCAGACTCCAAAATTGCTTTTAGTGGAAAAAAGTGGGTTGTCTTTCTGCCTTATGATTTGCCAGGCAGTGCCTGCAGCCTAACAAAGCATAGGAAGATTAAAAATTGACACCTATTTTCCCCCACCATAACAAAACCTTACTACAGATTGGGTTTTCCCAAGTCTGATCCTGTCAAAAAACATGATAACCCAACACCATTTATAATTAAAACAGGCACCATAAATAATTAAAGGAACTCATGCATTATGAAGTCAGTAAAACACTAGCTCTGTATGGAGCAGAATTGGTGCTTCATCCCAAAAGACCTATTTCAGAGCTTCTACCCTGGTCAGATTCAACAACGTCTCAGGAGTAATGAGGAGCAGTAGACTGATTTGTAGGGTTTGAATGTAATTGTCCTTTCAGGTGTGGGACATTTTAGTTTTAACCTATAGCAACTACTTGAGATGTGTACGTTCAGTACTTCCCTTTTGGCCTCCTGTCTGGAAATCCAGACTTAGAGACTGCGTCCCTGCGAGCTCTGTAGGGAGAAGAGGCCCTTTGAATCAGCCACCTTTCTCTTGGCTAGACAGTGCCTTGGTAACGATTGGGGTATTGAAAGAGAAGGATACTCACATGGGCTGCACCCAGGAAAACATCCATTCAGTGTGACAAGTTTTGCTTCTGACACGAGAAATTTCTTACAGTGAAGGGTTTTGTTTTTCTGGGTGGCCTGCGTACTTTGACAACCCAGCGCTGTACCTGCAGAGCTCAGCACCCGTGCGTACGTAACGTAGTGTGCCGTGCCTGAGTCCCATGTCTGCCCATGCTGGACACAGCTGTCTAACTTCTGCCTAGCTGATTTTTCTCTAGTCGTCACATTTCAAAGCTGTGATGTGTGAAATAACTGGTTTGTCTTATGTTTATAAATCCTCCTGTATACATTTATTTTTATATACATAATTAAACACATAGCATTTAGTTGCTACTAATAGCCTTTATGAAACTGAAATGTACTGCTGTCTTCAGGAGCAGATAGTGCGAAGGATTGGTGAAGAGGAGGGTCATGAGCAGGTGTGGAAAGGGCAGACAGCACGCTCAGGAGCACACCTCAGTTTCACTCGGGGTTGACAAATGCCAGAGCGAGGTCAGGGTACATCCCTGTGTGCTTGACAGTGAGTGTAAGGTGAGGATCAGAGATGCAGTCCTGTTTCTGAAATTTGCCTGGATACGTTTTACGATTGTAGAGCCAGACTACCTGTTTGGGAGAGTGTTCCTTGGGAAGTACCTGTGAGCCGAGTCTGTGCTTGCCACAGAACATCAGCGGTTTAATGAAGGTAATGCTTTTGTGGTACGAACCACGGCCAACTCGGAACAGAGAGGAGGGGAGTCAGGAGGTTATTTTCTTCAAAGGAGTAAGCTTTGTATCTCTGGGCCTAATGTGACTCCAGTGTCCTTCCATTTTCTCACTGCTGCATGTCTTCATAGTGGCATCGCTTCAGACCTGCGAAGCCTTGAAGGCGTACAGGTGTGAGCAGCTGCTCTGCAATCCGAAATACTCATTGGCACATCTGAAGACTGACTGTGCAGAGGTCAGCCTGTTTCTCGTGAGAAGAGGTTCCTTTTGAGATGACATCCCTTTCTTTGTACTCCCTTTTAGATGGCGACGCTTGGGGAAGCGCGATTAAAGGAGATGGAAGCGTTGCGTTCTCTGCGAGCCGCAAACGAAGTGAAGGTGCTCTCTAGTGAAGAGGACGCTGAACTGAAAGTCTGTTTGTGCCAGAAGGAGCCGGCTGCTCCCATGATACAGTGTGAACTCTGCAGAGGGTTCTTCCATACCGGCTGTGTTTCTGTGCCCAGCGTTTTGCAGGGACCTCGCGTGTGGCTCTGTCCACACTGTCATCGGTCGGAAAAACCACCTTTAGAAAAGATCTTACCGTTGCTGGCCTCCTTGCAGCGTATCCGTGTGAGGCTCCCTGAGGGGGATGCCTTGCGGTACATGATTGAGAGAACTGTGAACTGGCAGCACAGAGCACAACAAATGTTGTATTCAGGGAATCTAAAACTTATACAAGACAAAGTTGGCTCAGGATTATTGTACAACAGGTGGCAAGCCACAGCAAGCCAATTGCCGGAGACAAACAAGGTGAGGCTGTGCTGCTGCTGCGTTGCTGGGCGGTGGGTGGTCAGCGAGAACCTCTCTGGGTTGGGGTTGGTGTACCTGCGTGCAAATACTGGCAAGGTAGATTGTTTATGTGTTGCTGTACAGACTTAAGGAGTTGGGGCTCTGCCTCGAGGATTAGCCAGGATGTGTGTGTGTCCTCCAGCAACTGCTTCGTGCTCTGTCTGCTGGAGTTGTGGGAACAATTGTTCCTCAAGGGCCCGTTTTCTCTTCTCCCAGCTCCTACACTGTAATGTGACACTATTAACGAACCTATTGTTTCTGGAGCACTTACTATTCAATTAGTCTTTATATTCTTTTCTTGCAAGCATTTCAGTACAGTTTAAGTGTTGAGAATTAGTAACAGAGGCACAAAATGTCCAGCTTGGCTCACAGATGAGGTTGTTTTCAGCAGTGTGTTGTCATCTATTACTGCTCCTTCTCATGCTAGAACTCCAAGCTGAATATTCTGCTGCTATTGCTGAGTTAAGCTGCAGGAACTGTTTCAGGTGTGATGGTGAGGGAGCTTCAAACTTCGTCCAGTAAAGATCTTTTGGCAGAAAGCGCAGGGAAAGTGGGGAATCGGTTAAGTGTTTATAGTTTTCCTGAGGTAGCAAACCTAGGAAAAATCTGAAATACAAGATCTTTGCAGCAGAAAAAATGTAAAACATCACAAAATCAAATGCACTCTGTTGCTTTTACTTTTTGATTGAAGCACTGTACTTTTGCTAGTGCAACCCTGTTAAAGTTAGTCTGTGGGCAGGAAACTAAAACATGTGCCACGTGTGCTCGAAGAGGTACTGTAGCTGCTTCTCGGGTAACCCAGCTACACCCAGTCGCCTGTGCTGGCCAGATTTTTCAACTAGACAAGCCTAGTTTTAGAAATTAAAACTATATTTAGACACCTAAGAGAATTTCTCTGGTAATTTAGGTTTGAAAGTATCTTTTTACTAGACCAACTAGTATAGTTGAAAAAAGAAAAGGTGGACAAAATTTTGGGAGTGTAAGTAGATGTTTGGATGAGAAATGGAAACAGTAAGCTGAGTTTTATTAGCACGGTTTTATTAGGTCAGTGTGGTCCCATGAGGTTTTTGAGAGCTGACAGCAGTCTAAATGTTGTGTGGTGTGGAGCTCAAGTCAGTAAATCCTAAATCAAGGTGACTAGCAGAGCTAGTTCAGGTCCTTGTGACTGCATTTCCCAAATCCCTGGGAAGCGCAGTGGAAGAGAGTCTGGCCATGTACATCAGCTCGGGTCCCTCGCTGTGCTTGAGCTGAGGAGCCTTCCTGGAGGTGGTGGTGCTGAGGGCAGGTCCAGAGCCGTCTCAGCACAGGTGCTGAGCCAAAACTTTAGTCTCGGTGGATGTGAGGTGTTCCTTCAGTGAATCCAGTGTGTCAGCATTGCTGTCTTGGCCTGTAACTATTTTCCCTGTTACTGGGGTAATCCAGCACTCTCATTCCCCCAGAGGAGCTCATAGCAGTAGCGACTGGAGTTCGGCTTCTCTGGCGCTGCCCAAAGTGAAGAATGTGGAGCATTTAGATGAGTTGGAAAGCTTCTCTTGAAACAGCTGAGGACTGACGACAGCCAAAGTCTGGAAGGGGCCCAGACACTTGGGTAGTGAGGTAGACAGTGTTTTGGAAAGTGCCTGGTGAGGTGCCTTTGGACCTGTGAGTCCAAACCTGGCACGTGCTGCCTTGCGGAAGTGGCCTGTGCATAAATGAGTGCGTGTGTTGCCTTCGGTGTCTTCTGTGCGTGCAGAGGTAAGGAGAAGTGCTTCCGCACAGCGTGGTGTCTTACCAGATCAAGGCAGTTCGCTTCTTTATTGTGAACATAAGGAAAACGTAGTATTTACCCAGAGTCAATTCCAGAGCAGCCCTCACTGCCACGAGTCTGGGATTATCCCTCCAGCACCTCTCCTGTGTTCTCTCTGCTCCACTGGCATGTTCTCCTCTGGTAGAGCATGCTCTGCATGCTCCGGGGCTGGTTTCTCATCTCTGGAGATAACGCACAGCTAAGAGCTCTGGCCATAAAGCTGGTTTTGCCTCTTTCCAGGTGCAGGATGAAGGATTTGGGTGTATTAGACTTAACAGTTTGCAGGAATACAAGGTTTAAGCAACTGTAATAGAAACAAGTTTTGATTCTATGGCAGTTACTTGACACTTCAAAACTACATGCTTAGAGAAAAAAAATTATGCATTATGGTTGTTTTTTTTTTGTAGGTTTCCCAGACAATTGGAGCTATGTCATTCTCCATGCCTCATGACTGGGATAACAGAACCATATACTTACATTCTCCATTTTCTACAGGACAGCACTGCATCCCACTTCATGGTTTGTAATCTTCACTTCGATGATGATGTTGTTCCTTTTTTCTCTTGTGTTGGGTGGGGAAGAGAGGGTGTCCTGGTCACCAGGACATGGCTGAGGCAGGGAGGCATGGGACTGCGGAGTGCAGCAGCTTTGGAACCTAATGCCTAGCTTTGGCAGAGGGGTGAAGTTCTCGGTGACTCAACTTGCCCCCCGTGTGTAATGAAAAGATGGGGTGTGGTAGGAGAAGAGGTGCCAGCTGGGAGCTGGCCCCTGCCTGGGGGAGCAGCACACCGGAGGCTGCAGGAGCAGGGAACAGACCACTGAAACTGTAGGAGCTGGATGGGAATGCTGTAGAGAAGCAGTGCTGGAGACCACAGGGTCCTTCATCCGTAGGACAGGAGACCATCTGAGTTTTGCTGTGCAGCAACTGTCACAGAGGTGCAGAGTCTTGAAGGTTTTTTTAGCAGCTGCTGCTGTGCTCCAGGTCACTCAGTGCAGGTTCTGCAAGCTCAGACCTTGTGGTTATTGGACTAACACAGACATGCTATAAATTGCATCATTTTACAGCTGTAAAAGAAGCTATTTATTGTTTCTTTCCTCCTGATGCATAATGCTCCAGGGACACAGGTCTAATCTTATCTTCATATTTTCAAGACAGTGCAGCTTAGTCCATGCTAATTTTACACCAGATGCTTTGGTTTAACATTACAGCTAAAGTCAAACAAGGCAGTCCTTTGTTTATTTTTCAGGCTGGATTTGCGTTGTACTGAATACCGTATTAAATAGCTGTTATTTACACAGTGATTTTGGCCTCCCCCAGCTGGGACTATTTCAGAAGCCCCAGGCAGGTTTTGAAGCCACATAGCAGCAGTGGGTGGACTCTGTTGCAAGGCTCATCTTCTCAGCCTTTCTCCCTCTCCTCTCTTGGCTTCACTTACGGATTTCACTGTTTGTTCCTCCTATCCACTTGTTACGTAGTGAGGGGATCATCACGCTTCCACAGGAAGCAGGAGAAACTACCAAGAATGATGGCAGTTGCTTATTCTCCAGCCAGCAAGAAATGCGAGCGTGGAAGGGTTCTAAGCCACAGTAACCTCTGTGCAAGCCTTTATCTTTTTTACCCTGCTGTTAAAAATGAGCAGCGAAGAGGAAACAGATATAATTCATACAGTTGTAGATTTAAAAAGGTCTTTCACAGTTCTTTTTTTATGTGCTACCAGAGAAGAATTTTCATTATCTGTGCAGTTCTCATCAGTGCTGACACTGAAGAATTCCTTTTCTCCTCTCTCCCTGTCTTTCATAACAGTCATTAGCACAGAGCTGGACGAGCTGATGATGGAAGCCCAGCTGCTGCAGGTTTCCCTGCCTGAAATACAGGAGCTGTACCAGATCCTATTCACGAAGCAGAGTCCCGCTTTGCAGACAGAGCAGAGGTCTTCCGTTGGACTGACAAATGAAAAGGCAAGTGTCTGACAACAGCAGTGAGGCTGGGGTCACACTGGAGTACAGGCTCTGCCTGAACCCGTAAGTCTTACAAAGAGGTTTGTGTGTGTCTCTGTACTTCCATGAAAACATGTTTTTCTTGTTCAAAAGGAGCCAAGAAGTTGATAACCAATTTATTACTAACTGTTGAATATAATACGTGGCCTAATGCATTTTTGCAATTTGAATCTGTTTTTGATGGTCACTGTCTGTATTTTAAATACATCTGTCCTAATTTGAGGCTTCTCCTGCGTTTAAGAGGCTTTCTTAGAGAGCTGCCTCTGAAGCAGTGGGCTCAGAGCCAGGAAGTGAGAAGCTTTTGTTCCATTAATTCTGTCACTGGGGTGTGACCCTGCCCCTTCCACATTCCTCTGCTGCTGAGGAGGTAGTGCCCTGTCAAACACCTGGCGCTTTCGCTGAAGCCCATTCCTAGCAGCAGGGAAGGGAACGACAGGGTAACAAATGTTCGTTCTGCATGCTTAGGATTTTCCCAACATATCTTTCCAGCAGAATGAGTGTTACCGAGGAAAAAAGGATGGAGTTAGCTACATGGAGAGAAAAGTAAAGCGACGTCTTGAGAGAGAGAGCTTCTGTGACGAGAAGAGAGCAAGAATTAAAAAAATGCGAACACCCAAAAAGAAGAAACTGAAACTGAACCACTCAAAGGATCTCTGCACTAACAAACTGGAGAGAGAACGGGAGCGGCTCTTTGAGCTGCAGCGTTCCGCTGACAGCCACTTACTGCCCTCCGACGTGTCCTTCTCTGAGCAGGAGGACTCTGAGGATGAAGATGCTATCTGCCCTGCTGTGAACTGTCTCCAGCCTGAGGGGGATGAGGTCAGTAGAGGCGGAGCTGCCGTGGTGTTCCAAAAGCCAGTATCTAGGGCATCCGGCTGCACTGAAACAGGTTGACTGCAGGAATACTGTTTACAGTGAGAGCGCGAGGCACTTAGCAACCTCTGCCGCTGCTGGGGCGAGGTCAGTGATGATCCCTCCCGCCTTCTGCAAGAGCAGCCGTGCAGCTGGGGCTCAAGAGGCAGGTGGACATCAAAACACCTGCATGGGATGGGGAGGAGGAGGTGGGGCTGTGCAGACAGCACAGTCACCTCTGCTCTTGAACTGTGGGTGTAGATAGACTGTGTGGGTTGCAGCCTTTCTGTGGGTGGGGACGGTGCCTTGGAGCTCTGCACAGGCCCATCCATACCAGAAAATGGAGAAGAGGGACATCCCCAATGCCTGGGAGGGCCGTGGTGAAGTGGTGAACAGGTTGCCCAGAGAAGCTGTGGATGCCCCATCCCTGGGAGTGTCCAAGGCCAGGCTGGAGGAGGCTTGGAGCAACCTGGTCTAGTGGAAGGTGTCCCTGCCCATGGCAGGGGGATTGGAACTAGGTGATCTTTGAGGTCCCTTCCAACCCAAACCATTCTGTGATTGTCATCCAAATCTTGCTATAGGGGGGAAAGCAACAGGAGGGCTAAGAGGAGCATGCCCTCCTCTCAGCTTCAGAGGAGCAGGACCGCAGGAGTCCGGAGAACAGTGAGCATAGTTGAATATCCAGCACTAGCCAGTTGGAGAATGGGATGTTTCTCACTTGGGTGAAGAACCCAGACATGAGCAGTGAATGCCGTCTGTGTCTGCTCTGCCCTTCTCTGAACCCCAGTATGTCTGTTCTGCATTAGGTGGATTGGGTCCAGTGCGATGGCAGCTGCAACCAGTGGTTCCACCAGGTGTGTGTGGGCATTTCTCCGGAAATGGCAGAGAAGGAGGACTACATCTGCGCCAGCTGCACTGGGAAGGACTCTCACCATCGGAAGTGAAACTCCCCACCAACCATTCAGGACTGGAGTAAAGAAGGTTATCAGAGTTTTTCAATAAAGCCACAGGGGCTGGTTTAAAAACCAGATTGCAAATGGTGCTACTTCTTTCCTTATGGGATCATTTTCCAGAACTCAAAACAATTTTTGACACTTTTGTATTTTCCCTTGATATGTTTGTGGTTGTTGAGGTTTGAGATGCTGACTGTTTAGCAGGGGTTTCCACCAATTTAGAAGGCATTTGAAACATGCACCTTTTATTGTACAGCATTAAATTACCTCTCTGGGATTTACCGGCGTATTTAATTCAGCTTGGTTTAGGTGCAAAAAACCCTGCACCATGAATTTTCCAATAAATCCTCTTTTGAGGAAATCCCTGTTTACTCTGTTAACTCTTTGGAGACTTTAGTTTTTTTCCACTTTGTTTTTCGTAGAGTAGGTTTATTTATCTGAGCAATAACTCCTATGTCTGGATTCAGTGACTGGAATGGCAATTTCGAAGAGCGTGTTGCTTCTAGCATTGGTGGGTGTACAGAAAGCAGATGTTAGATCCTAGTGTCACTGATGTAGAAGACAGAGGAAAAAAAAAAAGGTCTGTAAAGTAATTGCCACAGCTGTATTTTGGCTTTCTCCTTTTTTGGGTAGCTTGTATCAAATGTTGCAGTTTATATTGTGGAATAAACCCCTGGTTATGTTATAAAATTAAATGTTGGTGTTTTTAGAGAGCTTGAACTGCAGTTTCATTTCCCTCTGGGTCGATATTGATTGCATCCATGGGTTCTCTTATTCAGGAGAAATCCATCTTTAGAAAAAGAAATGCAGGAGCCATGGTGTTTTCTTACTGTACAGGCATTTTCAGGTTTGGAAGGAGAAGGCAGATCAAAATGGTATTCCTGCCAAAAAGAGAACCAACCTTTTTCAAATCTCTTGCAAACCTTTTCCAAAACAGAAATGATTTGCCGGTTGGGTGAGTAAAGGGTCAAAACGGGTTGTGGTTTGGCAGGGGCAGGAATGGGAGATGCAGGGCTGAGGCGAGGTGCGGGTCAGCTCCCTGCCGGCCGTGCTCAGCTGTCCCCGCAGCACCAAGCGCACTGCCTGGCCCTGGGCAGGTTCTTCCGGCTGCTGCTTCCGCTCGGGCTGAAACCTGAGGAATGAGGAAACTTCCAGACAGGCTAGGAATTCTCTCCAAGACTGTTTAGGGACCTAGCCTGGGGGCAAGAGGGGGCAAAGCAGTGCCGCCTCAGGGTGAACTAGACCACCGAGGGGGAGAGGTGGTGTGCTGAAGGCAGGACACTCCTCGTGGGGCAGCACCCCAGCGTCAGAGAGCAGTTGCTGAGGCAGGGCGTAGGTGTTAGTGACCTGGTGACAGTGACGCGGCTCCGCAGCCCAACAAAGGTGCAACTTCTGGAGCCCTGGAAGATGGGAGGTCTGGCTCTCTGTATTGGAGAGAGCACTCTCCTGCCATCACCGGAAAGGTGGCGGCAGCATTCCCTCCGTTCCTCGTCGAGAGGAACCTGCTGCCGTTTTTTCCTGCTGGTGTTATTTTCCTGTGGGCAGAAGCGCGCAGAGTCCCTGGGCACGGGGCGACGCCTGCGAGCTGTATGCGGCTGGTAGTGACATAGTGGGACTCTCTGGAGTCAGCACCACGTGGGAATTGGGTTTCTCCAGGGGTTTTGGTTTGGGTTTGCTGCTTGGTCGGTTCTTTTAACCGTGAGAGTGCACACTGAATGTACCTACTGGAGAAGCTTCCGCCTGGCACAGGGCTTCTCTCTAAAAGCGTTGGTCGGGGGGAAGAGAACCTGACCACGCATGTGTTGGTGAGGGGGGTGTGCGCTTCCGTACGACTCGTCTGTATTTACTGAGATTACCGAACGGGTGTTTTGTGGGTGGGGGTTTGGTTTTCACCTTTGGTGGGTTTTTTGTTGGAAGATGACTTTGTGTCACGCCAAGATTAAGTCAAAGCTGTGGGGAAAAAACCTGGTCTGTTGTAGCTCGGTTTTAACGGGGGCAGACAAACGACCTTGAAACAGAAATAACTTGCCCAGTGCTCTGCTGTAGCTGAAAACCTTGCAGAAGTTTCTCTCGCAGTATCCCTTTACTGTTTTCCCATTGAAGAAATGGCTGTTCCGGAAAGTGCCGGAGAAAATACGATGTGGTTAGGTTAGCGTGGTGGTTGCATAGAGCTCCAGGGGAAAGTTGCCATTTTGTGGACCGTTTGTGCTTCTGGCAACGGAATTGAGCATCAGGACTAACGAACGTGGTGGAATCAGACCATGGTGTTTCGGAAATGACCACGCCTTTCCATGGGAATCTTCAGGTAACAGAGAACGCAGTCCTGGGGTGAGCAGTGCCTACAGTACAGGGTGTCTGCTTAAGGACTATTTCCTGCTGGAACTGTGACCTCGGGAATGGGTAGCTGGAGGTTGCTGCGGAGGCAGTGGTGCCTCTGGGATTTCATGCCTGTGTGGGATGCCTCGAACTGGGTTAGGTTGGGCTTCACTTTGCCAAGCAAGAGACTTGTTGTTTGCTTCAGGGTGGACCCTTCTGTGAGCATCCCTTGTGCTCTGCCCTATGAGGAACGCACACTCAGCAGCAGGGGCTGTGAGATCAGCTGGCCCTTTCACCCCCCCTCTTGTCCATGCTGGATTTCCAGAGGATAAACCAAGACACGTTTGGGGAAAAAAAAAAAAGCCCCTTCCCACCCCATTCTGCTTGATATCAAATTTTTATTTTTTTAGAATGAAGCAACCAATTACCTCAACTAGCAACCAATCCCTAGATTGCTCCAATGCTCATTCTTTATTTAATAAGAACAGTTTATAGCCTCTACTTTAATCATAAAATAGGACAAAAATCAAAATTACTCTACCTGCAGATCTGAGGCTGAAAATTCCAATTTTATGTAAAGCCTGCCTGTACCATCTGTCAGATGCTGGGATCGTAGCTGTTGTGCCACCTTCCACCTTCCTGATGTGCGCTTTCTCGTGCCACGTGAAGAGCAGCAGCACAGGCTGACACGCACCCACCTGCACTGGCTGTGGTCACGTCCAGCGCCAGTCAAGTACTTGATCCGAGGGAGAGGCAAGGGTTTGATTCCAGGGAAGCCGCGGGCGCTGGGGCAGTCAGCGCACACTGCCAGGGCCTGGCTGCAGCGTTCCGAAGGCACGCCCGTGGGGCTTTTCAGCACTCTGAGCCCTGTCAGCCGCTGAGAGCAGAGCAGTCTGCAGCACAGCCCTTCAGCCCTGGCGCTCCAGAAGCGAATGTAGGACTGAAAGGCTTCTGACACGCCTCGGGGATGCCTTGAATCCAGAGTCGCTGAGAGTTGCGGAACCAAAGGCAGCCTGGGGGGAGGATTGGAAACGCTGGTAACCAGGTTGGTCGCTCTGTGCTCTGATCCACAGCGGTGGCCGGGTATCCGCGTGGATCTCTGCAGACAGCCTCTTCTGACGGTGGCAGAGGAGCCGGTCGGCAGTTGTGTCAGCAGCTGCTAAATGAAGGTGTCAGCAGTGGTGCTGGTTTTCTTACACTCTTCTTACACCCTTCATGTGCCATCCCTTTACTCAGCTGGGCAATGTACACATGGAGACTAACGCTGGAGTTGCGCCATCGGCCCGACTGGCCGGCAGCAAAGACAAAAGCGTGTGGCACAAAGTACGTTGGGAGATAAGAGCATGTCAAGGATTCGGTATCAACTTGCTTTACTCGAACAGTCCTGGCCTCCTTGCCTCCCCCAGCGCCTTCTGGGTGCCGAGACCTCTTCTTTGGGCTGAAAAGACAAAGGTCCGCTGGCCGGGGTGAAAATGAGCTCCAGAGACGGACAGGGATGCGATGTCTTAAGGATGACACCTCAGTCCCCGGTGTGTTGGCAGCTGAAATTCAGGTACACAAACAGAACTGCCTGGGGGGATGCTGCTCCATAGCTGTGGAGTCGGGAGGGGAAAACCAGAAGGGAAACCTCACTTTTGCGCAGTCAGCAGTCGTTTGTCAGCCCAGCCCAAGGACGGGACGCGCGGTGTCTTACTACTCACTAAATGCGTACCTATCTCCACGTGAACGCCGCCGTAACGACGCATGACGCAGAAGCTGGTGTGTGTTAGAGCTGGCTGACGCGTGGCGGATTGTTTACACGTTGGCGCTTCGGGAAAAGGGAGTAAGAGCGAGGGACTTCAGCTGAGGGCCAGATCCCTACTGCGGCAGGCACAAATGCTTCAGCTGCCCCATCTGCGGTCGGAGACGCGTTTGTCGGACGTGACGGCCTGTCACATGGGATCTCCAGAATACACAGGCTCAGCTGCCTGGAAACAGTGTCAAGGAGCTGAGATGACCTCCCTGAAACGAACGTGCTTCTCCAAGAGCAGGGTTGAGGTACAGTCTTGAAAAATAGCTTTATGCTTTCTTCAGAGGTGAACAAGCCACACACAGAGTTCTCCTGGACGTAAACCTGTCCTGGAAGGCAGCAGGCCTGCACAAAGAAGAGCATCAATCGAAATAAAAGCTGTGTCTGGGAGAGGAGACAAAGCAGTCAGCTAGATTCAGAGTACGTGCAGGTTCAAGGCATGGCTTCTATTCCCGATGGGCAGAAATGCTGTCAGCAGGTTCCGGTGAAAAGGTCCTGGGTAGAAGGAACAAAGATTTTTATGAGAAAAGAAACAAGCGTTTGATGTGACATGTTGCTGGGTGCCGAGAGGGAGGTGTGCCCAAAGGCAGCTGAGAAGAAACACTGCCATGCCCTGAACTGAGGGAGATGCAGCTTCGCCAAGGTCCCGTACGTACCTCAGTTGTTCCGTTTTGAGACGCTGGTTAACCCTGCTACCCACAGCAACAGCTGATCAGTCAGAATACTGGGCCAGATTCTGTGTGTGTGAGTGCTCCCTGAAATCTCTGTGAGCCTGGCTCTAAACATGCATAAATATTTTGTAAAAAGTAGTAAAACCAGTAGCTGCCTGTCTGCAGAACGCACAGTTCACTTGAAAAGCATCACCCAGGGTTTGTTACGGACAAACCAGTATTTGTCAGGTGTTTGGGTGGCTTCGGTGTCTGCTGGGTTTTTGGGGCTTCATGTTCCAGTTACTGCCTGGAGTTAAATTTGTAAATTTTTTTGGGGGGGTGGGTCAGGCAGGTACCATGTAACACCCCCAGGCAGTCTTGGAATTCGGGCTGATGCGGTGCCTGTTCCTTGTGCTGACCCTGATTTTCTCTTGAAGGCTTTTTGCTGGTAACTGTGGTCCCGTGTCAGCTGCACATCTTCCCTGGCTCGGGTCCGCAGGGCACCTCACAGGAGGAAACAAGGCATTCATCGTAAAACAGCCTTTTGTTCTAAGAATTCTCTTTTTTTGTATTGACTGGACTTTCTTCCCTAAAGCATGGCAAAAGATGGGTGTTGGAACCCGTTCAGCTTTGGGGCAAAACGCAGAGTGTTTGAAAGGCAAGCTCTAGGTTTGCTGGCCTTGCAGGAAGCATCTGTGCAGAACACAAG